GCGTTTTTAATATTTTTAAAAAGTAATTTATGAAGCCACTTTAATCTGTATCGCATAAAAACTTGTTATTAATTGTTATATTACAATCCTGCCACATTCAAAAAGCTTATTTTTTGTAAATAAAAAGCCTGACAATGTCACTGCTTAATACCTATAAGTATTGTGATTTATGTTTTACTTTGGCAATCTCTCTGTCTCCCTCTGTCAGACATGCAGTTCTACAGTACTTGTCACTGACAACCCACTAAACTATCAATTTAAACAAAAATTTACCGTCAACTACAGACGTTGCATCCATCGATTCCGCCATGTTTCTCACTGACACGCCCCCAACTCTGAAACTCTGGGCTTAAAGAAAATTTAGAGTTTCCCACTCATAATAACGACTTTGTGGTGGCGTTCATGTGCGTTCAACTCGTAAATACGATCTATGCGACATGACTTGAACGTACCATAAGAACTTTAAGTTTCTCATTATAGTTTCTAAATGATTCGCACGTAGACAATATGCGCAAGAGCCAATTAAGTTTGTCCTTTATCTTTTTCTCCTTTTATGGCGTGTCAGCATTATTATATACCTAAAGGCAGTAGGAGTGGGGCAGTGATTCTCTCACTGTGTCGTTACATAAAAAAGCAATATGATAAAAATGTCTGATAGTACTGTTTTACAGTTTCATCTCATTAGCAGCTGTTTTGTCAGCCATTTGGCATGTTGTTAAACAGCAATACAATCCACTGAACTTGCCTCATTTTCATTCTATGCTAATAATGAGAAAATTATACAAGATTTTTTATTATATTGTTACAAATGTTACACATTTAATGCATAGCCTAACTGTCCATCATGACTGTAGGCAGTTGTAATGTAAATTCTAACTTTTGATTAATTTGTTCATAATGATCAATAAATGAATTACAAAACAAGTGCATATTTATTTTTCGTTTTTTTTTGCCTTTGTTCAGTGTATGAAAGAACTACGTTATTAAAACGAGGCATCATTTTCACAGATGAACCTTACAGTAAATTACAAATGTTAAAATGTTTGCAAATGTACTGTGTGAAATAAGCATGAATTGTGACATCTTTGAACATGAACATGCCAAGGATTATTTGGTGCATTGACATGACATCATACTTATTTTTCAGTGCAAGTAAAAAATTAATGCATCATACAGAATGTTCAAAGCAAGCAAAAAGCTTCATCACTCTTTTTTGCTTTTCTTCTTTAATCTAAAACAACAACGAATTATGAATAATTTGCACATTTTAAAGAAGACGTAGAGAACTACAGTGAGGACAGTGATGAGAAAAGCGAACACATCCAGACAGTGGTACTGGTACCAGGTAAGGTTGTGGGCCTCGACACGCAGGTGTTTAGCGCCTTTATTGCGCATGACGAACTCAATACAGAACACAGACTCATCCAAAGGCTTTACTGGTCTGTCATGATGAATCCTGGACAAACGCAACACATTCTCTTTATACCTGCGGAGATGAAGACAAATACTGTTATAATACATGTCTGTGTATATAGTGCATATGTAGCGAGAGTCTATATATTTTGAGGACTTATTGTCCTGTTATGCACTGACACCACTGCAAATCTGATATAAGTGACTTACGAGCAGTCATTAATGACAGCATTGAGTCCATCCACCAGGTCTTGCGGCTGAGTGGTCTTGATGTTGTCCATGAGAACAGCAGCCCCTCTGGCCTTCATATGAGCCAAATTATCAGGCTGGTCACCAAACAAGGGGATCCCGACCATTGAAAATCCATGATAAATGGCCTCATATATGCCATTAGTGCCTCCATAAGTGATAAATGCTCTGGTTTTGGGGTGACCTGAATCAGGAGACAAACACGGGTAAATAAACAAGGAAAAACTGACGTCATCATTACATTAACACACAATGGAAGTATACAGACAATAAACAGAAAAATACATACTCAAAAGTACAGCCACAAAACGTTTTTATTTAAAGCAGAAATTGCTTTTTTAGTATTCGTTTTATATGTTTTATTGAATATATATAATTTAATATATTTTTTTATATTTTTAAAAGTAGTATACAATCACAAATTATAAAACAAACCCAAAAATCATTCTGAGGGATCCACTTATAGATTCTAGTGTTTTCACCAAGAGTATCTGGCTTCTCTCCATTAAATCGCCTTAAGATCTGCAACACATTTACACAACCACACTCTCAACTGATCAGCAGATGGCAGAGATTACAGAGAAACACTACCTCAGTAAATGTGGATGTTCACGCTGAATTGTGACCAAATTAAATTACTTTCCCTCATTCCAATCACATCAAGAAGCAGTGCGTATGCAGTCATGATATCTGGATGGAAAAGATGTAACAGTGATCACTTACCTTCTGTGGAATCTGTGCCAGTGCAGAGGCGATCATATTGCTTGTCTCTTTTGGGCATTTTGTCTATCATAGACCCTAGAGTGAAGACCACAATCCCATCATCCCCTGAACTCTGTACAAACTCCTCCATGTCCTACACAGAAAAAAGACATCATGAACTTAAGGTGTGACAAGTGACTACATAATACATTTATGCAAAATTTAAAATATATGCTGCCACAGGTACAATTCACTGCAGTTTTCAGGTAAAATAATGGCACTACTAATATTACTAAAAGCAGTTAGTAAATTGTTTAAAAAATGCTGAAATACGGAGTTAACTGAACTGAATCCATTCCGACCAGTCACTGATCATCTACTCACTGAAATGATTTTTTTCCTTATTAACAGCAAATGAGGTAGAATTTTTAAAAACGACACATGCACCTTGGGTAATGGTTTGGCAGGGGCGCAGTGAAGCCCTCCAACGTATTTGAAGTTGGGCAGGAATGGCCGTGGAAACTCAAAATCCCAGTAGGTTCTGATTGGAGAGTATCCACTGAACGTAAACAGCGTATGCTATTCTGTGTCAGCTGCGTCATGCAAACAACGTGTCCGCGTGATGCAGCTGACACAGAATAGCATACGCTGTTTACGCTCACATTTTTGGGTGAACTATCCCTTTGAACTATCCCTTTAAATTTATCATTTTGATGGCGGATTGTAATCCAGAAAGGATTATATGTTTATGAAATACATGTGATTTAAATTAAATTATATTCCAGTTTTAAATGTGCATCTGATTACAGATAGCCTATGTGGGATTACACAAGTTTTTGTATTTTAAAGAGAACCAATTCGAAGGAAGAATAATTTGCTTTTTGGATTAAAATAATGTCTTTATATGAAATTTGAATGGTATGACAACTAAAGATTAGACTGTACAGAAATTGAAATC